TGGTAGTCCAGGCTGGCCTCGAACTCACAGAGATCCACCTGGCTCTGCCTCCCGAGTGCTGGGATTAAAGGCGTGCGCCACCACTGCCTGGCTATTTTCTTTTCTATTGTCTTGTTAACAAGTATATCTAATTACTTAATATGAGCATGCATTTCAATTGGTGGTTTTCTCCACATGGCATCTCTGTCCACAGCAGTCTCTACGGTACTTTGTACAGACAGAAAATATAATTAATGTTACTGGAATGCATGAACAAACTTGAAAACAGCATCTTACCTTGCGATATCTATTTCTTGCCAAATAGCCTCTCAAACAAGACTGAAGAACAATAGTGGCAGCTCGTCGAACCTTGTACCTCCTGCGGACCACATACATGCGCCAGTACTTTTGAATGGTGGTTGCTGCCTTGGTCCTGCGCAGAAACTTGGCATAGCTGGCCAAAGAAAACAGTTGTGTACTGTCAGTCATCAAGACTGCAAAACATCCATATCACTGTCTTAGGTAGCCTGAGCAGAACCTCACTGTTACTCTAACGTTCACGGCAAATACACACTTACATTAACTTACATGGGCTCAGCAATGTGTGGCTTCTGAAGTATTTTTTCACTGAGTTTCCCTAATTTTGAAAGGCAGGATGTCCCATATTGTCACATTTCACAATAAAGAAAAGGAAGTTCATAAAGCTTAAAACTTCATAAAATTAAAACTGTATATGTAACCACACTGAAATATAGCTACTTGTTAGAACATTTTTGTTAATTGCTCCTCCATAGAGTCAAGATTAACTGTCTCATATTCATGGCTGTTTCAATTTATATACAATTTCTTCAAGTTCCATGTTATGGTAAAAGATACAAATTCTAAGGACCCAAGTTGGTAGCAATTCAAATCTGAATTATTGTTAAGTCTATGTGAAATTTTATTCTTTTTAATTGTCTTGTAAGTTAATTTGTTGTGCTTTGACATGAATAACGAGTGAGATGCTATCTTCACAGGTAGGGCGTCATTCAGACCACTTGTCCTGGACGGACCCTGAGTCAGCTGAGGAGACCTACCATCGAGCCTGATAGCCCCGCACGTATCGCTGCACCGTGATGGCCGCCCTCTGCATGCACAGGTATTTCTTCCTTAGCAGCCACCCACGGATGGTCTTCTGGATCCGGATGCAGGCAGCCCTCAGTTTGTCAGCCCTCAATTTTTCTAGATAGGCCACTTGACCGGCACGGAAAAAGATCTTCGTCTTACCAAACTGGTATTTGTCCTTGTCCTATTTTAGAGGCAAAAATACAAAGAGAAACAATGACCTTATAAAAGAAATTCAAGATGGGGAAAAGACAATCCAGAAGCAGAATTAGTGAAAGGATGAATCTATTATCGAAAACCGGGGCTACATCTCAATGAACTAATGGAGCCAGATTTTTTTTTTTTTTTTTTTTTTTGTAATCCTACTTAAGTTGTGTAAATAAAAAGGATTTTAGGGAAAATGGTAGCCTAAGAGTTATTTTCCAGAATTATTCTACCTGGAAATAATATCTGGGCCCCAAACTGGCTGTGGGTTCTATGCAGCTATTATCTGCTTGTTTGAATTTTAAACCTCTTAAGGAGATGGAGATGCTGACAGTCCCTCTGACTGACCCGCTGTAAGATTATATCAGTCTGTATAATCCATGAGCAGCTGAAGAAACAAAGACACCAGCGTGAAGAATAAGGCAGGAAGTAAGCACACAAAATAAAAAGTTAAAAAACAAAAAAACGAACCAACAACAATTCTTCTAAATCCCTGTGTTCATATTAAGGGTATGCTTCTAAATAGTTATCACTTTGCTTCAACAGTATCTAAAAAAACAAGTGCAAGCTCATAAATGTGTTTAAAATCTTTTACAGATTGCCAATTTTTTCATAAGAAATACAATTATTTATATTGCATTGACTTTTGTGCATACGCAGAGCTATAGAGTAGATAGAGATATTCATGTGATTTAGGGTGATTCACCTCAGATGTAAGCATGCAAATCATTAACCATTTTCATATAAAAAGAACAGTGGAATTTACATATACTAATCACTACTGTGTCAGAAATTCTAGGCAAAAATAAATTCAGTTTTTGCTGTAAGCACATATCCCTTTAAACATAAAGTTAAAAAATCAGAAACTGTAACATATATCTGAAAAGTCTAAAATCATTTAATAGCTTTTGCACAGGAACCCTAACTAGGTGCTCTCACTGTCCCATCTTACCTCAGCTACTCCCTCTACCTCCATGGATCCAGACCTGGAGTGGTCTGGGTGAGGAGGCAGGTGCATGACTGTCTCAGCTTTCTGTTCCATATTCCCATCTGAACCCAAATTCGAAAGGAATTGGGCCAAACTCAAAAAACAAAAACAAAAACCCCACTAGATCTTAAAAAGCATTACATCCTTAGAGAAGGATGGGATCCTTAGTTACAGATGGGATCTGTAGTTCTCTCAAAGGGGAAAAATCATCAAAGAAGAATTACATTTAATTAATAGTTAGTAATTATGACTAACTACTTCATAGTGAGGCACAAGTAAAATTAATTTTTAAACAACCTTATCATGATCTCAAACTCATGAAGACTCAGATTAGAGATTTTCTATGTGTACTATGGGGGCCCGGGGAACTGTTAAAAATGCAAATTATAAAGGATTTAGTTCAGTGGTAAAACATTTACCTAGCATATGCAAAGCCCTGGGTTCTATCACCAGCACAGAAAATAAATAAATAAGTAAATAAACAAATAAATAAATAAAGTGTGGGGGGGAAATGGTGTTCAATTATTGGGCCATCCCAGACCTACTGAATCAGAAATTCTAGGGGTAGAGGCCAGCAATCTGTGTCTAGCAAGCCCTCCAGGTTACTACACACAATAATCTGAGAACTTCTTAGACAAATATGTAATTATCTATCTATTCTAATAATTTCTCTATTATCTGATACACAACTATTACCCTGTAAAAGGCCACCTTACTGCTTCCTTTCCTAAAAATTTGTATGTGTGTCAGTGTTTTGCTTGCACATACATAATGTGCACTATGTGCATGACTAGTGTCTGTAGAGTCCAAAAGAAAGTGCTGGATGCTTGGAACTTGAAGAATGGTTGTGAGCTGCCATGTGGGTGCTGGGAACCAAATCTAGGTCCTCTGCAAAAACAGCAGGTGCTTTTAACTTCAGAGCCCTCTTTCTATCCCTAAAGACTTCATTTTTTAATGCGTCTATATGAGTGTATGCCATGTGTGTATGAGTGTTCACATAAGTAAGAAGAGGGCATTGGATTTCCTGGAGCTGGAGTTGCAGTTGCACACCACCCAACGTGGGTGCTGGGAACTGAACACAGTTTTCTGCAACAGCAGCAGGAGCTCGTAAGTGCTTCTCCAACCACTTTAGCACATTCTGTATTTTCTACTTTTTTTTTTTTATAGCTTATTTCCATTTTATCTAAACATACCCATTCTTCAGGGCCTGACTCAAATCCCACTCCTCATAAAAGTATTCTTCCTTCTCATGATTGGATATGATTTTGTCTTCTTTTTATATCTTTCCTACTTCCTCTGCATTTTTTGTCATTTTTTTATTTTTAGATTTTTAGTTATATGCATGCGTGTGTATCTCTGTGCATGAAAATTTAAGTATCCAAGAATGCCAGAGATGTTGGCTCCCTCAGGAGCTAGAGTAACAGGTGGTTGTGGGCCATCCTACACAGGTCCTAGAAACCGGATTCAAGTCCTCTGGAGTCCAGCACGCACTCTTCTACTGAGCCTTATCTTCAGTCCTCACTCAATATTTAATGTAGACATAATCATCTGCATGCTCATCTTTAAAATGCATTACTTGTCTTTAAAATAAAAATGGACTTTTCCCCTTAATTTTGTTGACAATGATCAAACTATCTAAAATGAACCCCAAGTCTGAGCCCAGCCATTTTCAAAACAGTTTCCTGGTGTTGGCTGTCAGTACCCACATTACTTCTAGCACACTAAACACAGTGAGTCTCACTTGACCTCTAGGTCAGGTGTTTTCCTGCTTAACCAACCCCAAATAACGTGGGGCATGGTATTTAACACATAAGTATGCAGGGCTTTTACAGCTCAGAACCACAAGGTCTTGGGCTAATACCTCTCAGAAACATTAAGTGAAAATCATTCTCACCAATATCAGTTTCTCTAATACATTCTTGCACGTTTGCTTTCTATCTCCCAGCACATCCTTTTGCTTCATTAGGACCCGATACCGGCTGAAAAACTCTTGATAAGTCCACCTAGAACAGAAGCCCACAACAGCTTAAAGATTCAAGCAACACTGCTCCCCCAGGGCTCCCTTACATCTGCAGACCGTGGGCTCACCGTGAGGGAAAACCCGCTGCACTGATTCGGATGGTCTCCAGGACACCACATGCTCTTAGTTGCTGCACTGCCCTTTTCTCATCAAATCTGCATGGAAAAACAAAAGCTGTTAGTCCACAAGACCCAGGCTGTCCAAGGTAAGATTCTTTTGTCAGGAGCCACGTAGATAAAATAGAAAAGAAAGCATTCAAAAGCTAGAACAGTGATCAAAATGAAAACCTCCATGAAACAGTAGGGAAGAGACATGTAGCAGTAAAAATAGAGCTGTAGAGAGCTCCTCCAGTTCACACACTACAGTGTCCTAAGGAAGTTCACTGAACATACTAGAAAGAAAGAAGACAGAATTCTCTCTCACTTTGCCCATCCTGTAATGAGTGTGCAATCATGGCTTAGCCTGACTAAAAATGCTCAGATTTCCATAGACCTCCCCTAGGATAAAGATTGACGAAAAGACATATTAAACATGTCCCCTTCAGTTATTTAAAAAAGCAACTTTTTAGAGGCAGGCGGTTCTCTATGAGTTTGAGGCCAGCCTGGTCTACAGAGTGATTTTTTTTTTTGGTTTTTCGAGACAGGGTTTCTCTGTGTAGCTTTGCGCCTTTCCTGGAACTCACTTGGTAGCCCAGGCTGGCCTCGAACTCACAGAGATTCACCTGCCTCTGCCTCCCGAGTGCTGGGATTAAAGGCATGCGCCACCACCGCCCGGCTCACAGAGTGATTTTTAAGACAGCCTATTCACAAAGAAACCCTGTCTCAGAACAACAACAACAACAAAAAAAAAAAAAAAAAAAAAAAAAACAAAAAAAAAAGCAACAACTTTGTTTTTCTACAAGCTGCTTACTGTGCACATACAGAATACTTAGAGTAGTCACAGCAATGAAAATATATCTATTTTATTACATCTCACATTTATTTCATCCTAAGCATCATGGTTTGAATGAGAATACATTTGAATACTTGGTCCCCAGTTGGTGGAAATGCTTAGGAAGGATTAGGAGGTGTGGCCTTGTTGGAGAAGGTATCACTGCCATTCCCAGGCCCTGCCATTCCCAGCTAGCTCTCTCTGTCTCTCTGCCTTGTGCTCTCAGCATGGGTTCAGCACCATGCCTGCCTGTCTGCTGCCATGCTTCTGCTATGATGGGCATGGACTCTAAACCTCTGCAACTGTGAACTCCAAATTCATCTCTTATAAGTTGCCTTGGTCATGACATTTTTGTCTTGTCAAATAGAAAATGAACTAATACACTAAAAAAAAAAAAAAAAAGGCATGTTAACATTAAAATGACACTAAATGAAGCAGCCGAAAGTTCCTCTTCTAGCCAGATGACTGCCTGTTGGTTTCATGACTAAGCTCTGAGTATCTACCCAAGCCCATCCTGTGCTGTCTTCTCAGGCCTTGGAGTGCTGCTAGGAGATGGGGCTTGCTAGTACAAGTTCACAGTGAAGGTGGAAACCTCTTCCTGCTCCCCACTTCCTCCAGAGAGAGGCTCTTGATGATGATGAGGATTGCAGACTTCCAGGACTACCCTCAAATCAGAGGCAGAATCTGCAGAGGAGGCCAGCAAGACCATCCGGATATTCACTGATACACTGTAGTGTAGGGGTGCAACCTTGAGTCTATATGGCTGGTCTTTTAATTTTTTAATATATATATAAAATTCAGGCATATTTATATATATGCCTGAATGTATATCTGTACAACCCTTGAGTATCTGGTGCTCAGAGGCTAGAAGAGGATGTCAAATGACTTAAAATTGGAATGACAGATGGTTGTGAACTGTCATGTGGGTGCTGGGAGTCAAACCTAGGTACCTTGGAAGGGCAGTGCTCTTAACAGCTGAGCTATCTGTAGAGCCTCATGGTTGGTCTTTAACAAAATATATTCAAAAATTCTTATTTGGCGTGATATTTGTGGTTATTTATGGGGTAAAATGTGGTATTTCAATACATGTGCATAGTGATCAAATCATACACTTGATCTTTGGCCCACAGATTCTTCTAGAACTGTGTATCCTAATGAGGTACAGAAACCTTTGGCAAAACACATTTGACAGAAATTGTTATGAGAAATAAGAGGGGTTTAAGGAAGGGTAACTGGGAGGGACTGAAGGGAGCAAAGTGATGTAACTGTAATTTATTAAAACATATTTTCTAAAAAAGGACTGCTGTAACAACCTAAATGATTTAAATAGATTATGGACCATCTATATCATCAGATACTCTGCAGCCACTCAATCAATATGTAGATTAAAATTCATCTAGGAACAATCAGTGCTAGTAAGAGTGGAGATGAAATAGCAGTTACAGCATGAGACCCCTTCTTGTTAGCCTCAGTCTCCCCCTGTCCCCCCCCCCCCACACACACAGGGAAAGAGGGCAATCTAACTAGTCCATTATGTGCCAATTTCCACTACTTATCTCTCTACTTATCTTCCTGAAAACCATCACAAGAATGTATATTATTCCTGTTTTTGTTTGTTTTTTGAGACAGGGTTTCTCTGTGTAGCTTTGCACCTTTCCTGGAACTCACTCTGTAGACCAGGCTGGCCTCAAACTCACAGAGATCTGCCTGCCTCTGCCTCCTGAGTGCTGGGATTAAAGGTGTGCACCACCATGGCCTGGCTATGATGGCTCAGCCATTAAAGGCTAGGCTCACAACCAAAAATATTATTAAAGTTAGGGAAATATTTATATTTTTGAAATCATCTCCAGAAAGATTCACTTTCACCTCTGACTTGGTGTGGGAAGTAGGATGAGATTTTTGATACATTCTCTGGCTCCAACAGATAAAAAAAAAAAAAAAAAAAAAAAAAGCAGCAGGTTAAGCCTTGGCCAAAAAAGTCTTAGCCCAGCTAGCTCTGTTTTTAATGTCCAAATTAACAAAAAGCCTAGAAAGATCTCCAACAGAGATAAAGTCAAAACAGAATCAGAAATAACTGGTTGGGCTCAAAATTTCAAATCCTTAGAGAGTTAACTGCTAATTTGTTTTCATGTTCCCAAAAGGAAACAAAACCTAAAAATTTTATCAAGTAGTTGATTCCCTCTACAAGACACGAAGATTTTTCCGTAGAAGTCTTTCTCCTCATTTTGGTTTGACTTACGTGAATGGAAACTTGAAATCATTAGGCTTAATGCAGCGTACGTAGTGAGGAGTCGTGGCATTAAGGGTTTCCATAAGCAGGTGAAGAGAGTTCCGAAACTGCATGAGAAAGGGTTAAAAAAAAATCAAGTTTTGTTAGAGGCCAAAGACAATTTAAAAGTGTTCCTTCTTTGACATAAATGGAGGTGATTTTTTTAAACAACGAATTTAAAGCCATCTTCATGGGAGGGCACAGTTACTAAACAAGAGTTCTAGGGCTTTCGTTTACATTTGCCTAAACTCTACATGTTCATTCTGCTAAATATGCATGTACCTTTCTTCTACCACTTTCTCTGTAGCTTCCTGTTGTGAGCTCCACTGTATGTGACTTATAATTTTGCTACTAGGGCCATTTAATCATATAAGGCATGAACTCTGCTATGTAATACAAAGACAAGCTAAAGCCGGGCGTTGGTGGCGCACGCCTTTAATCCCAGCACTCGGGAGGCAGAGCCAGGCGGATCTCTGTGAGTTCGAGGCCAGCCTGGGCTACAAAGCGAGATCCAGGAAAGGCGCAAAGCTACACAGAGAAACCCTGTCTCGAAAAACCAAAAAAAAAAAAAAAAAAAAAAAATACAAAGACAAGCTGCAGATTTCTTACTATTAGATAAGAAAGGAGCCAAGAACAGACTGAAGGACAGACAGAAAGGAAGCATCACTGAGGACACAGGTCAAGACTGGAGCTGTGGACCCGCGTTGGCCCTTTGCTGGAGCTGAAGGGAAGAAGCCTGGCAGCGGCAGCTCCTGAACTCACCTGGTGTCCCACTGTTTTCTTGTGCTCTTTGGCCATCTGGCCAGGTCGGCCCTTGGCGGGCTTTACAGGAACTCGGGTGAGAGGCGTGCGCCCTGAAGAGGTGGCGGAGGTGGGACTGATGGCCTTCTCGTCATCTTGAAAGAGTTCTGGTAGCATCTTAAACTGTAAGTCAGAAATAGTAAAGAAAATTGTATTCTAGAACCAAGTGTGGAGGCAACACAGCTAAAATCCCAGCACTTGGGAGACAGAGAGAGAAAGATCATGAGTTCCAGGCCAGACTCAGCTAAGAAGTGACTTCAAGGCCAAATGAGACACCATCTCAAAAAACTAAATCAAAACAACAAAAACACATACCCTAAGCTCCAAATGGAAAGTAAGCCTTTGTAGACGCCCCATTACAGATGATAAACACTTATTCTTGTAGATAGCTATAGTAAGACCCACAGAAATAAGTCCTGGTTTAGGAGCCCAAAAATATAAGAGAAAGGACATATAAATGTCACAAATATATGGTGGAAAAATAAAATAAAATTCTACAACAATATTTGGGGTGAAATAAACTCAAAGTACTAAATACAGACCTGAAGATCTAACTAATCCAAAGAAAATATCAGTTAAACATACAACTGGTTTTGAACTATAATTATTTTATGAGAAAAATATTTATCAAGAGACTGAGTTTATTATCTCAGGTCTACAAGAGGTTTTATGCAGCAGAAGCAAAGGACTAGACCAGGTCTGCATGAGTCTGAAGCTGTAAGTACTAACTCAAAACACCTGAGAATCTCAGCAGGCAGGCACTATGAACAAGCTTTCAATATTGAAATGTAAAAGTTAATGATGAATTAATAATTTTAAGGAAATAATTTGGATTGTATAAAAAAGGAGAAAACCCAGCTATTATCCTGTGTATATTTATATTTGACTTCAAGAAATTTAAAACTTTAGTGCAATTACCATAACTATATGTTTTTTGAGATGGGGTTTCACTATGTCACCACAGGAACTAGCTCTGTAGATCAGGCTGATCTCAAACTCAGAAATCTGCCGTCCTCTGCCTCTCAAGTGCTGAGATTAAAGGCACTCACTATATAAGCGAGTGGATACTAGACAATGTAGTTGGATGAAAATTTCTGAAACAAGTAAGACCTAAAACTAGTCTGCAGCAACATCCTGCTATATGGACACACCTTTCTAACACTGTTATATTCCATATAAATAAAAGTAATCATTTGTGCAAGTCAAGTCACACTTGTAAACACCAATTATTTACTAATCTCAGATTATTTAGTGTAGTTGATATATTGTGCGCCCCAATAAACTTATCTGGGGGTCAGAGAACAAAACAGCTATAATATTAAAATAGAGGATAGGCAGTGGTAGCAGACACCTTTAATCCTAGCATTCCAGAGGCAGTGATCCATCTGGATCTCTGTGAGTTCAAAGCCACACTGGAAACTGCCAGGCATGGTGACTCACGCCTTTAATCCCAGGAAGTGATGGCAGAAAGGTATATAAGGTGTGAGGACCAGGAACTAGCCTGGTTAAGCTTTTAGCCTTTTGAGCAGCAGTTCAGCTGAGACCCATTCGGATGAGGACACAGAGGCTTCCTGTTTGAGGAAACAGGATCAGCTGAGGAGTTGGCAAGGTGAGTAGCTGTGACTTGTTCTGCTTCTCTGATATTTCAGCATTCACCCCAATACCTGGCTCCCGTGTTTTTTATTAATAAGATCCTTTAAGATTTATGTTCCAATTTAGGAAAAAAATTTTCCTATGAGAAAAACAAAGTCATAAAAATAAAGTCATGTGATTTCATATTCTATAAATGTTTGGGGCTGGGATACAGTTAAGTAGCAGAGTGCTTCTTTGGCAAGTATAAGGTCACAGACTAAATCCTCAGTACCACAAAAAGGAAAGAAAAGTAAACACTCAGAAAAACCATCAGGGTAGTTAAAGAAGTTATCCATGGTGAGTCTAACCTAATGTCAGCCTATTAAACAAACACAAATACTCCCTGTTTTACAGAATAATTAATGTAGTCTAGCATGGTTGGCTATGCAGAAGTAAAGAAAAGTTTTCTTGTAAGACAAAACTAAACCCACATTACAAAGTAGAAAAATTAGTTCCCAGAAGCTCTATATAAAAACTCAGCTGAGTGGTGGTGGCACACACCTTTAATCCCAGCACTTAAGAGGCAGAGACAGGTGGATCTCTGTGGGTTCGGAGCCAGCCTGGTCTACAGAGCGAGTTCTGAGATAGCCAGGGCTATACCAGAGAAATCCTGTCTCAGAAAAAGAGAAAAAGAAAAAAAAAGTGAGATGATTCTGTGATAGCCATGTACTACAAATTCTTAGCTATGCTTCATTCTCAATAAATTGCTGGCTCCACATTAGCAGCTGCCAAAACCTCATTTTTATCTCTTCCCTGTGAAAGGTTTAATAGAACTAGGCTACCATGCCATGTTCACCAGTAGGTGTTACAATTTAACTTGGCATCTACACTATCGACCAGGTAACAGATTCGTTATCAGAGTTCAGAATACACACACACACACACACACACACACACACACACACACACTTGAGGGTAGGACTACTTCTAATAGAAATTCTAAACTAAAATTCCCTGTATAACTTGCCCTTTTTGAAGAAAGTGCACTGCCAGGCATGGTATGAGACACTTACAACCCCAGTACTTGAGAAGGCAAAAGCATTATGAGTTTCATGATGACCTGGGTTATAGAGCAAAACCTGGTTAAGAAATCTGGTGTGGTGGCACATGTGTCTGTAGTCTTAGGAATTAGGAGGGAAATGGAGGCGGTTCAGAGTTCAAAGTCAGCCTCGGCTGCCCATCTACATAGTCTGAGGCCAGCCTAAACGACATCCTGTCTTAATAAGCACACAATAGTAAAATCAAACAAAGCTGGGGGATGACTCAACTGGTAAAGTGTTTGTCTTGCTGAGTTTGAGCTCCACCGGCCACATAAAAAGTTGGGCAAGGTGGCACATGCCTGTAATCCTAATAGGGAAGAGAAGACGGGAGGGCCCCTGGGGTTCACTGGTCACTCACTCTATGTTTACTGCTGAGCTCCCAATCAATGAAAGACTGCATCTCAAAAGAAGTAGACAGTGTTCCTAAGGACAGCCTGAGACTGTCCTCCTGCCTCCGCACACAAACGCATACGCTTGAGCAGATGTGTCCCTGTGGGCATGCTTGTGCATGCGCGGAACGTATACTTTGAATTACTGTACCAGGAACTGTTCTACAAAGTATTCTTCATAGGCTATTTTTCTTGAATCTTGTTCTGGTGCCTCTTCCGGCTGCCTCTGTTAATTGGAATATCTGGCTTCAGCTTTAGTAGTTTTTATCTACATGCTCTCTCAGTCTCATGCTTTAAAAAGCACTGAGTTCTGAAGCCCACAGCATTTCTACCACTGCTCTGCCTTTCCCTTTGACTTGCCTTTATTCCTCACTTCCCATATGACAGACACTCCTACCTGGC